TGATCACAGCTCAAAATAAAACAGCTGGTCCCAAACAGAGAAAACAAACTCACTTTGCCCTAAATTATTGTTCTAATGATATTTTTCTCTGATTTTCCTAAACACTCGAACAGCAGTCAGTCTAATATTTTGTCCATCAGATGTTAAATGATAATGAATAAATTGTCTTCCAGCTCAAAGTGACTGTTTTCTAAAGGAGGAAGTCTAAAATGATCCACAGCTCTGAGTTCCAGCTTTTTGTCAACATTTACCTGCACATCAGCACAAAGTTTCCCTTCATTTTTTAAATATTATGGAGCTCATTTCCATGTTGGAATAATCAGTAATCTGGATTTATTAGACCTGCTATTCGCTCTGCGACCACAGGGTGGAGCTATACTGCCACATTTATCCCAGTTTGGAGTGAAAAACAGTTAGTTGTTCATCTGATTGTTTACTGTAAAGTCATACAGAGGGATTCAGAAAAGAGACACTTGTATCTACTGGTGTTTTATTGGAATATTCTCTGTTTATTTGTCTAAACCTGCCACATTTCCACAATTATCATTAATGTGATCAGATTTTTGGGGGGATTGGACTCACCAAAAAAAAAATTGTCTCTTTTTTCTTCATGTATGTGGAGCCAGAACTGTTTTTCTTTGGATTTATTCCATAAAATGCTGAGTTCTGTGAATTCAAATGAGTGTTTCTATATTTTTGTATTTTGATTTGATCATTACCACCCGGCTGCCCATCGCCATCGGCCAGCAGGGGCTGACCCAGGTTTGATTCCTGGCCAATGCTGCAGGTGTTTGTCTGTTTAACAAACATTTTGTTAAATGTCTTAATCTGCAAGCTGTTTTTTCTTCCCTGACCGGGAATTGAACCCGGACCGTGGTGGTGAGAGCACCAAATCCTAGCCATTAGACCATCAGGGAGATGGTGTGAAGTGGATCATCTTACACTTTGTGGATATTGGATTGGTTGTGACACTTTTTGCTTCAGCAGCTCTAAGTTATAGAAGGTTTTCAGTCTTCAGGAGAGTCCAGATAGTCTTTTGTGTCCATGATGGAGGTTTTTAATGCATGTAATGTGTCTATGGTTGATGTTCTGACTGAGTAGAGTAGGACAGGTAAAGGGGCCAACAACGACTTTTCTGAATACAGTTTCAATCACATGTATGGATATGTCCTGCTTGACCAATACTTGTAGTAGGATAAGCTCACATAGTAAAAGCAGCTACACAAAAAGAATTGAAGCTCAGTTGATATTTCACGAGACCCATCTCTAAACACAAAGACTCAATATTATACTATGCTAATGTTAAGTGAAACTGTACAAAGACATATAGAGCTGCCTGGATGCCTGCTGTGGAACACATGAAATGTCCTACACCAAGCTGCCAGAGCCAGTGTGTAAAGACTGTTTGCTTGTTAGAAAGAGGGGGATTAAAATCATAATGGAGATACTGGAAATGGAGTCAGGGAAATCGCCACTCCACAAACAATGTGTGAATGAACACAGTGGATGAACAATCACGGAATAGTTTTGGTCTTTGGAGTCTGTTCTTTTCTTTTGCTTATAAAAGTACAAGATCAAATGGAAAATGTTTATTGTGAAAATGCCTTTGAAGGCGTTCAATCAAAGCGCTGTGAGATAACTGTTGTTGTGATGTGGCGCTATATAAATAAAACTAAGTTGAATTGAACTTTCATATACAAATGATACTTTAAAACATAGGGACATTTCTCCTCTTTCAGATAATGTAACTATCAAAGAGCTCCAGCTTTTATAATATGAGCAGTGAGCTTCAGCGTCAGAGGTATCCTTCAAGGTTTACATTGAAAACCATTGTTAAAATCTGACTGAGAAATAAAACAGGCCAAAAAAGTTTCATGTTTAGAAATCTCTCCCGTTGGCACATTTCTGGCTGGATTTAAAAATGACAAACACAGTCTATTGGTATCACGCTTATTATAATGGCTCTTTTGGTTTGGGCTCAGGAGGTCAGAATGTGAAGGGAATCTTTGTTATATTTATTTAATTACTAACCACAAGGTTTTGCACAAAAACTACTTAAACAGGACACAGCCAATACAGAGGGCAGATTTACTGTCTGGCAGGTGAAACTCTAACTAAAGAGCAGTGGCTGGGACTAATTAGAAGGAAAAAACGTATGTGTACCCATACACATACTAGGAACTAGGAACAATTATCACTTCAGTCAGTCAGAAAGTGCTGCAGGAAATGCACATAATTTAAAAATACTGTACTTTGACCTGCTATGTTGCTGTGAAAACTGACACTAAGTACTGAATCCACAATCAGTTAAATGTCTCTGTGAAGAGAAGCAGGTGTGCTGACTTTAATAATACGCTGTAACCTCTGGGGAGTATGCCAGGAGTCTTTCAGGTTTAGCACAGCCTCTTTTGGTAAATGCACATCATATGCATCTCGGGTCTTAGATGAACAACAAACACCAGCCAAATGTCCAATCCAGCAACAATCCAGCAATCTGAGTTTAAGTCTCAGTGGAACTGGTTATAAGATAAAAAGTGTTTTACTGGAGCCGACTCAGGCTGTCAAGTATGCTCAGTCACGCAACAACTTTCTTTCATTCATTCTTACACACCCTCCCAAGAGGATGTGCCCCACATTAAGAACCAACTGTTGAGATGTTAATAAGGTACATGTACAATCTTGAAGGTTTCAGCACCTCCTTCAGGATACAGTGTTTGAACCATTGGAAGCACATGGTCCTCCAGAATGGTTCGATAGTCCTTGGTAGTGACGCACCCATCTAGCACAAGTATGGGGCCAAGGGAATGCCATGATATGTCAGCCTAAACCATCACTGTTCCACCCCCATGCTTCACTCTGGGCATGCAACAGTCTGGGTGGTACGCTTCTTTGGGGCTTCTCTACACCTTAACTCTCCCGGATGTGGGGAAAACAGTAAAAGCGGACTCATCAGAGAACAATAAATGTTTCACATTGTCCACATCCCAAGATTTGCGCTCCTTGCACCATTGAAGCCGACGTTTGGCATTGGCACGAGTGACCAAAGGTTTGGCTATAGCAGCCCGGCCGTGTATATTGACCCTGTGGAGCTCCTGATGGACAGTTTTGGTGGAAACAGGAGAGCTGAGGTGCACATTTAATTCTGCTGTGATTTGGGCAGCCGTGGTTTTATGTTTTTTGGATACAATCCGGGTTGGCACCCAAACATCCCTTTCAGACAGCTTCCTCTTGCGTCCACCGTTAATCCTGTTGGATGTGGTTCATCCTTCTTGGTGGTATGCTGACATTACCCTGGAGACCGTGGCTCTTGATACATCACAAAGACTTGCCGTCTTGGTCACAGATGTGCCAGCAAGACGTGCACCAACAATTGGTCCTCTTTTGAACTCTGGTATGTCACCTATAATGATGTGTGCGTTGCCATATTTTGAGCAAAACCGTGCTTTTACCCTGCTAATTGGACCTTCACAGTCTACTCTTATTGGTTCAATGTGCAATTAATGAAGATTGGCCACCAGGCTGGTCCAATTTAGCCATGAAACCTCCCACACTAAAATGAGAGGTGTTTCAGTTTCATTGTCCAACCCCTGTATCTTAAAGTTAACTTTGGGCTGCTGTCCTGAGGTTTTAGATGCATCTCTGCTCCAACTCACCTGATTCTCTTTGAATGGCACCATTTAAAGCATTAACTTCTGCACCAGCCTGCTGATGGTGCATTCTCACACTGACCATTTTAGTACTTTTTAAAGCTTCAATGTGTTGCTGTTATCTGATTCTGAGATAAACTAATATCTAATTATCTTGACTGTGTTCTGAACTCCTCCCTCTTTTGTTTAAACTTCTTAGGATGGAACTCCATCTCCCAGCATCCTTTGACAGCAGCTGTGCAGGATTCCAGAGACTCTTTGTTTTTCAGAGACCAGCTGGTTTGTGGAACTGTTTTTCTGTGACATGAATGTGCTGATCACACCGTGAGTGGAAGAAACTAATACAATACAATAGATCAGATGTTACGATCATAAATTAACCCACTTTGATGGAATATATCTGGTTTATCTACCCTGAATGTGGTGTATTGTCTTATTGTTTTACATGACTGTTCATTTCTAAACACAGATATGAGCTCACCTGTTTTCCAGTAAGAGAAAAAACTCTGCACTCTAGTGGTGCTGATGAGAATAATTTGTGTTGAAGCAGAGAAACCTCTAAAGTCTGCAGGACGGTGGCCCTGAAGGCTGGAGTTAGACTCCTGTGCTTTAGGAGGACAGGAGAGTCTGGAAATGAGGGTCTTAGTGGATCTTCTTTGCTTGGTTCCTGTTCAGCTGTTGCGTTTGAGGCTCAGATGTGTTGGAGAATCCAGGAGGAACTTGTTGGCTCTCACTTGCTGACTTTATATTTGTACTTTTTCATTCACCTCATGTAACTTGTTGGTTGCTCCTATGTGATAAATGTCTGTAACTGCGTGATAAGATGGCACAATCAGTACTTGCAAGGTGCTCTTAATTTGGCATCCAGTTCTATTTCAATAGATACACCAAACAGAACAAATATTATCTGAGCTGTTCCAGTTTTATTCTGTTTGACTTGTTCCAAATTTCTGCATCTAAACTCTCACATTTTAATGCATTTTTCTTTCGTTATCTTAAATGTAAAACACTTTGAATTGTGTTGTAAATGAGGTGTGCCATACAGATTAGATTAGCCTTGCCTTTCCTTACAGTGGAGCATGGAGCTACAGGACGGTTTGACAGTGAGTTAGTGAGGATGAGTTTACAGAGAGTCAGCAGATCGACAACCATCTTCATCAGATGTTTAATGAGCAGTCACTCACAGAATCAGAAGTCAGATTTTACAATTTAACTGTTCAGACTCTACAGATCTGATCTGTACTGATCTGAAAGACACCTAAAACATCTCATAATTTTGTTTGTCATCCCCAGCCTGTTACCTCTTCTGGTCTTTTCACTCAGCCTTAATCCATCAATATATTCCCAAAAATTGTAGATCTCAATGATCAAACGTAACCAGTTGTAGATCTGATGGATCACCCTGTAAGAACATAACCAGTAATAGACCTGTCGAATACCTCCATAAACCCTAGAAAAGAGACCCCAGACCCTTGAGAGCCTTGTCTGGGCACCCATCTCATAGTGGACTGCGCCCCCCTGTGAGATGGAGTCTATCTTGTGCAGCAGCTCCTGGACCTGCGTCCGGTCTCTGGTCTCCTTGTTGTTGAACACATGGTACACCCCGCTGCAGCTCTGCAGCAGCCCCTGCAGGATGACATCCTCCCTGATGAGCTGCTCCATGATCATGTCCTCCAGCTGGTCTCCATAGGTGAACAGCAGCATGGTGTGTTGGGACACCTCAGGACTCAGCATGCTCTGCAGGGTCTGCAGCCCCCTCTGCTCTTGGGGGGTGACTCTCCCCAGCTGGAGCGTGAGCAGGAAGACGTGAGGCCCCGGACCGCTCAGCTGGACGGCTTTAATCAGCTCTGCTTCCACCTGCTGTGCAGACAGCTGGGAGCTGCAGAGTCCAGGGGTGTCCACCACAGAGACTCTGCGGCCCTCAAACTCTCCCTCTATCTTTTCAGAGCTCACAGTCAGCGGGATGGAGCTGATCCGACAGTCAAACTCCTTCTTTCCCAGGATGGTGTTTCCCGCTGAGCTCTTCCCCACTCTTTCCTGACCCACCAGAACCACTCTGAGGTCAGCGCCTGGTTCTGAAAGCACAGGACGGTGCGCATTAGAAACCCTCTGAGCACACTGACAGAACAGGTAGAATAAAGGTCCAGAGACAAGTTGGGATTGTAGATTTATTTCAGAGTTGTTATTCAGATACAGAACAGCTGATGTTTGGCTCTTCACACCAAAGCTCTCCAACAGCAAAAGTAAAGAAACCAGATTTCTAACAGTTTGATTAATGATTCACCAAACAGGAATAATCTGACCCCGATTACATAATTAACACTTAGTGAGACAAAGGAGAGGATCCTAAAATCTCAAATCAAAGAAAATCGCAGAAAAAATCTTTAATACAAAAAGTGAAAATATGTTTCACATCCAGATTTTTCCATTTAATGAGCCTTTTAATTAATTGAAGTTAATGTATAACAGAGATAATCACTGAATGATGCATGCTTTCTTTGATAGTAACAGAAAAAATAAAAAAGCAGCTCCAGCAGCTACAGCTCTCGGCCAATCTGTAATGAATGAGTTGTTTGTCTCTGCTAGTCTTCTTGCTTCTTGAGGGTTCATATGTGGCTTTGCTGTCAGAAGTCGTTGCTCTTCTTCTCTCTTTGCTTTCTCAGCTGCTTCGAACTTCTCGTTGGTGTAGAATCTTCCTCCGTTCTTCTGAACCATTCTGTTGATCTTATCCAGCAGCTCGTGGACCTGAGACTCATCACGATCCCTATTGTCAAACATGTGATAACCTCCACGGCACTGAAGGACAAACTCATTCAGAGCTGGATTCTGACGTATTATTTCTTTTATGGAGACGCTTCCCCTCTTCAGGTCGTCTCCATGGGTGAACAACACCATTGTGTAATGTGCTGCTTCTTCTCCAAACATTTCCTGGATGATTTTCACTGTTTCTTGTTCTTCTTTTGTGAACCTGGTCAGTTGGATCACAACCAGGAACACATGTGGACCAGGAGCCGCATAAGAAATATACTTAGCAATCTATTTCACCAGCTCCTCATTGCTTCCAATGGGGTCAAACAGCCCTGGAGCATCAATAACATCCAGTATTTTACCACCAAACACTCTAGTTTCCTTCTGACACTCTTTCGTCACTCCTATAGCAGAAAGCTTTGATATAAAACATTTCTCCCCTAGGATGGTGTTTCCTACTGCACTCTTTCCAGTTCCAGTTTTTCCAACAAGAACCATCCTGAGTTCTTGTTCCTTTGGTTCTATTGGAGAATTGGAGGAAAACATTTACAGAAGGAAAACTTTAATAATTAAGTTTATTAGAATTGGGCTGTGATTACTCACTTTAGCACAGTATGTTATAACTTAATCCATGTAAACGACTGATTGTCTTATTCCTGTTTAGATGGATATTATTCCCTATATAATTATACTTTTGGGTTAAACTCTCTGGCTGTGCCTCCTCCTCCTCCTCTCTCTGTTACAGTAGATACTCGTCTTCAAGCTCAACATCCACACTTTCTTATCACATTCCACCAAAACCTGCATGAATTAGGACCTGGCCTGTTCCTGTCAGAGCTAACTGGCCAATAACACTCGTCCTCCTGTTGGAAGCCCAGAGGAAAATTGTCCATCAACCCCAGAAATCGAGGCTCTTTGCCCACTGAGATCCTCTTGGAGCTTTGTCTGTGAGAGTCCAACGCTGATATACTTTGCTTGTGACCAATAAATTCCATATTTGTACTCTTGATCTGCTCTGGTTTATTCTCAGGCTTCGAACTAAAGATTCGAACTAACAAGTTGATGAATGAAAGCTCCTCTGATCCTTAATAGGAACCAGGTACAAAAAAGTACAGTGCAAAAGCAGAAATGGGTTTTCCCCAAACATTTACGAAATCAGGGGTTCATCTGTAACTATGATACCCCTCTCTGTGTATCATATTAACATTTATAAACAGAAATGCTTAATTTTTCTTATTCTGTTTAGATAATGATGACTAATTTCTCTGGAAGATCTGAGGGATGAAAAGTCACTCAAGTGACTCAAACTTGTTTTGGTAACGCGTCTTTGTAACACAACCCAGATGTGGGGGTTGGACAGACATAGAGGGAAGAGACTCAGAGCAGACTTATAGCAGCTCCAGCACCACATAACATACCTGCTCAAAGTGGAAAAACATTCATGTCAGTTTTATGGCAAAGAGTTTTGTGGCAAAGAGATTCTGAGATAACTTCTTATCTCCCAAAGCTGTCGCTCGGAAATATGTTTCATCTGATTCCTGTTTTTACCGTCTGGTTGTAAGAAGTTAGACTGATTTAATCTGAACAGATGAGTTAATATACAATGTGCTTTTGTTTCTACAGCAGCTGTAATAAAACACTTTATAGACCAGTTTAGCTCAGAAACAGGTAATTAAGGAAATATGGAAACCAAATATGGAAACCAAACATCCCAAGTTTGAAAGAAAGGGACCGTGGTTCAGTTTATCTGCATTTCAGTTCGTCCCTACAAATGACTTCCATTTGATCTGGTTTCAGCCTGTTCGACAGACTGAGGTTTCATTTAGTATTTCCAGTTATTGTATAAATTGTAAATGGAATATTAGACTCTGAAAAACTTGCACAGAGGGAGGAAAGTTCAAATTCTTGTTATACTTTAACGATGGTATTAGACAGAATAATGTTTAAGAAGAAAAATGGTACAAATTGGTCTTTTCTCCTTTACTGCACGGTTACTACAGAAGGAACAAAAATCTACAAAAATGGAGCTAGGTAAATATTACACAACAGTAAATATGTTCTTTTTTCCTTTTTTTAAACTTTTTTTTTTGTTGCTGTTGAACCTAGTTTAGAAAATGTATAAATAATGTTAATATTTCTGACTTTGGACGTGGTCTTTAAAGTGGGCCTCATACAAGACCCAAAACTAAGCAAAAATATATTAAAGGTTTAACCTAATTGTCCAAACGTGTGCTGAGTTTTTAAACATGTAAAAGTTAGAAATATACTTACCAGGAGGAGAACATTTGCTGCTGGACATGTTTGTCTTTGACAGGACGGTGAGCTGCTGATGTCTCGATGTTTTTATTAAGAAGAGTTTCACTTTCTGCTCTGAGTCTCCTCCTTATAATTCTGTCTTACCCACACGTTTGGGTTGGGTTTCAAAGAGACGTCACCTACATAAGTTTGAGTCTGAGCAGCAGTGGCTTTTCATCTCACAGATCAACGATTGAAATCATTATCTAAACAGAATGAGAAAAATTAGGATAGACGGTATTAAGCATTTCTGTTTGTAAATGTTAATCCGATACATAGAGAGGGGTATGATTGTTACACTGGAGGTATGTTACAGATAAACCCCTGATTTCTGTTTCTGACATCAATTTTTAAAATTATTTTCCTGAATTCATCTTTTTATTCCTTTTCATGTGTTTGTAGTTTGAATTATAAACTGTTAAAATGCTAGAAAGTGGTTATTTTAGGGACTCTTTGCACTCACGGTATTATGATTAAAAAATAAATCTCTTATTATGTGTCTGGAGGAAACCCTTATGCTTTTGTACTCAAAATTGTTTATGACTTTTGTGTTTCTGGTTGGAGAAACTGGATCTGGAAAGACTGCAGCAGGAAACATTATCCTAGGGGTAGAGATGTTTTAAATCATAGCTATCTCTCTTATCTCAATCTGGCCTCCCGGGAGCGGCCTTGCAGCTGCTACTCTACAACTTTGCCCTGGATGGAACTGCAGACCGATGCTTTGCCCACCCCACCCCCTCTCTCCTCCCAAGCAGGAGTAAGGGCATCACAAGGATAAATTCCATCTAGCCTGTGGATGTGGACTCCAGCTTGCTTACACTTACACACACACAAGTACAGACTTCATGCATTCCTTGGACTCACTGCCTCGCTGTTACCTTTCCCCTTCCTTCCAACCCCCCATCCCTCCCTCCCTATGTGTCCTTGATGTTGTGATTTGACGGTTTCTGTGCTTAAGTGTACTGAGGTATTTTTTTATATCACTGTTACGTCCCCTGTAGGGGGCGTGGCACTGGGCCTTTTTTTTCCCTCTTCCCGCAACCGCTTTCCCAATGTATTCTTTTTGTTCTGAAGAAAAATTGGTGCGCCCTCCTGTGTGGCTGCCCTCAGTCTTCCCGAACTGGTGTGTCTATGTGTTTTGTTTGTTTGATCTTGGTACGGGCTGTACTGGAAGTCAATTTCTCCCTGGAGATCAATAAAGTATATTCAATTCAATTCAATTCAATTTCTACTATAGGAGTGACGACAAATTGTCAAAAAGAAGCAAGGGTTTAGTGGTAAAACCCTGGCTGTTATTGATACTCCAGGACTGTTTGACCCCCAGAAAAAAAGCAATGAAGACATGGTGAAACAGATAACTAAGTGTATTTGTTCTGGGGCTTTGCGTGAGAAGGGAACTTGAGTGTTTGATGGTAAACGTCAGCGGTAAATAGTGGCTGTAATAGGTACTCCAGGACTGTTTGTCCTCATAACAATCCATGAAGAGCTGGTGGAAAAAATAGAAAGTGATTCTTGTTTCTTTTTACTTATTTGTAGTGTTTGAAAATGGGTTCTTATGCTGATTGGACTGCTTGTCCTTTATAATCCACAATGAAAACAGCACTGAAACATTCTACTTGAGCTGGAGTTTGTTCGGCCATTTCAAAGGTCTGAATTCTTTATCAGAGACGTAAAATCCTGAATAAACTCCTTAATTCGGCTCTGTGAGGATCGTGTTCTTTGACGTTTCTTGAACTTTTTTTAGACAATTGGCTTGCAGCGATATGCAAAAAACTGCTAAAATAATAGTGGACGCCTTCAAAAACTCAGATCAATGTGAACACTGAATATTTACTGATCTACTGAGATTATCAGCATGGTAGGAAGCAAAAAAGACTAATATTTTTTCTGTTTTATGGAATAAAAAAAAAAGTCAGTGATGGGAAATCTGTCCCACATTCCAGGAATTTCTACTACTCTACACACAGCCTAAAACAGGGGTGCTCACACTTTTTCAGCATGGGAGCTACTTTTGAAATGACCAAGTCAAAATGATCTACCCATTATATTTATTGAGAAATATATTGAGGATTATTACAACTTATGTTGATGTATAACCACATATCGATGTATAACCACATTTTGCGACGGTAACCTGGCAGACGAGACAAACGCACTTTGAAAACGTCATCGTGAAAAAAAAGTCCTCCTCCCATTCCGAATGAAAGTGATAGGTTTTTTCTTCCTACTTGGTCCAGCTCCTCCACTCATTTCAATAACCTATCTTACGTTTAAGAGGAAAAACCCAGCGAAACATTAGGATGTAACTAAGGACTAGCTTGTTAGCTTGTTAGCTTTGCTGCGCTCAGGGGCGTTGTTTGAGCACGCACAGTGACCTCATTGTAGGGAAAAAAATCAGACGTCATCTGACTGGTTGTCCTGTGTATCAATCAGGTGACGGGGTTGCTGATAGGCTGACGTCTAGTTTTTATTCAAAACAACTCAACTTTATTTGTATAGCGTCAGTTCATGACGATGTCACCTCACCTTGTCATGTGATCTACCGATAGCACCTGGAGATCGACTGGTAGATCGTGATCGACGTATTGAGCACCCCTGGCTTAAAACATAGGGCAGCCCACTTATCAATGCTGGGGGATTCAGACATGTGACTTTTCTTTTAGTTTCCTTTTAGTCTCTGTTCATTGAACTCCACTGGTTACCTCTGGCTGACCATATCAAATCCAAGTCTCTGATTCTGGCCTACAAAGTGCTTAAGGGTACGGCTCCCATCTGCCTGAATCCTCTTCAAAGGTTTCTGTCCCAACTGGATCCCTCCGGTCATCAATGGACTATGGTCTAGCAGAGCCTTCACCACGCTTAAGACCATCCAGACTGTTTGCATGTGTCGTTCCAAGATGGAGGAACCACCTACCAAGCTACAAGAACAGCAGGTCCCTGTCTGTCTTCAGAAACTCTTGAAGACCCCCCTCTTCAAAGAGCATCTCCTATCCTAACCCTAACCCGTACCTGTACCCCCCCACAGCTCCTATCCTAACCCTAACCCGTACCTCTACCCC